TACGTCAGGTTGACTTTTAGCTGTCTGAGGTTAGCCTAGTGAAGCGTCATTGTCGTTGGTAGCGAGGGCGGCCATCTTGATAGTGTCGGTCGGAGATGGCGCCCGCGCACCGCGCTCGTGACGAATCGCTGTGTATCGAAGTGATAGTTATATCTAGTGTTTCGATTGAGTTGGTGTCGTATTGAATAGACTGTACTTTATCCCTTTCAAAGTATGAGTTCCCATGAAGGCCCTCCTGTTCTTACAACGCCCTCCTACATATATATCACATGTTAACTAACACAGCTGGCATTACAAACAAACCGACAGTTATATTTCAATGTTAGGAGAAGAACACAACGTACTATCTTGTTTGTTACATTAGATAATTGACAATTAAGTGAAAGCTATGAATTCTAATATGTATTATATTCAAATATTTTAATATACTTTGTGAAATATATATACATATTATGTTATATTCATTAAATACAAGTGGCAGTCTCATTTAAACTATACCATCAATTTAGAATTTATTTATTATCATAATATAAGGTGCACGTCAAAGTGAAATTTTCTATAATAAACCAATCATGTGTTATGGCCCTTATCCCGCATACCGACTGTCAGACATTTTAATATCTTAATCAAGCCTTAAAAGGCGACCGTGATCTGAAGATTTGTAACAGAAAGTATTGTGGGATTAACGAATTCAAATGATATTGATATGTATTCGTGATGACTATTTTTATTTTTTGTTATTTGATTCTATCTAAAACTTAATGTGATCGTTACTTAATAATGGTCCCTTATGGACGGTTTTGTTCAAAATTTTACAAGACGATACTTTTAACATAATCTAGTTCTTCATGAATATTCATAAGAGGGTAACTATTGAATAAAGTATATATATATTTATAATCTTTGTGTAATATATGTATGTATGGAAGAGAAATTAATCAAGTCCATATAAAAGAACCTTCGCAAGGATATCATTTGTATCTATACTAATATTATAAAGCTGAAGAGTTTGTTTGTTTGTTTGTTTGTTTGAAAGCGCTAATCTCCGAAACTACTGGTTCGAATTGAATAATTCTTTTTTTATTGGATAGTCCAGTTATCGAGGAAGGCTGTAGGCTATATAACATCACGCTACCACCAATCGGAGCAAAGATATAGTGGTAAATGTGTAAAAAACGGGAGAAATTATTTCATCTTTGAAGCCTTCCGTTGCGTGCGCCGTGAAAACGGTTCAAGATACACAAAAAATATGTATTAAAGAATAATAGCTCTTTTAATGATCTAAAAAACAGTCCGCGACAGTGTATCTCTATCTTTTAAGATTAACTCACAAAAACCGTTTTTATGGTACCTTATTTGGTCGAAATAATTTGTTTAAGTTGTATCAACATAATAATATTAATCTTTATTCAAAAAAACAAATAAATAAGTTGTCGGTTAAAAGTACTTCATTGTGAATAAAAAAAAAACATAGGTTTTATCCTGAAAATTCTACGGGAACTCGACCATTCCGAAAACCCCGCAAGAACGGGAACTATGTGGGAAGAACCAAAAATCTACCGGAAGTCACTATTCCACGCGGACGGAGTCGCGGCAAAAGCTAGTATGTAATATATTAGAATGTATATATTTGTCCAATATTCAGCAATTTCATTGATACAATTTATTTCGACATTCTCATTTATTATGAAATCATAGTTTACCAAAAAAAACAACCTGATCCCGCTGTATGAAAAGAACTTTTCATATTAATTATTCCGTAAGATAAATCAAACTTTCCAAACCTCAAATACTTTTAGAAGACTAAGATTTTTAGCTGAAATTAATATAAAATAAAAATTTAATTTAGTTTTTATATTAAAACCTTTTATACCGGTTACAAAAAAAACGTTGAATGGTAACTGGTAATCTGTTGTAAAGCAATAAGATTTAGCCTCAAGCTAGACTGAAGATGTAATTACAGATCTATAAGCATCCACATATGGTGAAATGATTGCATAGTTATCAAATATTCTATAGAAACATATAGAATGATATACAGATTTACACCTAAACTTTTGAGTATTAGGACATATATTTTGAAATCTATATATTCATTCCATTATAACATTTATTACAAAGCCATTAAGTGTCATATAATCTGAGCATAGTAATTCAGGAGCGAATTTGATATTTAAATTTAAATACACCTCTTATTAAAATACTAAAGTGATTATAATCTTATATGGATGTCTGGTATATCTGTGCACAAGTACGAAATAACATTTACCCAACAGTCGGTCAAACTGAATCCTTCACCGGAAATCAAACGATTGACCGGTGATCCAAACTAAACATTGAAACGCACCCAAGCGAATTCAAGGGAAACCTATTTAGATACTGTTTCAACAACTTAATGTAATAACTAAGTTTAAACAAAATATAACATATACTGACTGAGGCTTGCTTTACGTTATAAAATTTCTTTTAACCTAAATCAAAAAATAGCTAAAAAGGCAAAGAGTACTTAAAGACATCTAAGACTTTCGCGATTATTCATATAATTAAAAGTAATATTTCCGATTTACTACTACGCGTTTTTTTTTTACGATTTCAAACTACACACTCTATAATAAAAAAAATCATCAATCACGGTTTTTACAAAGTAACCACAAATATTAGTTCTATTCAAATACCATTTTATTATAGCTCACCTCTTCATAACAAGTCACTAGTAATTTTGTAAGAATAATTAATATACTATCGAAGAATAAAAAAAAAATATCCACTATCATAAATTTATATTCATATAATTTATAACTAAACATTATTACAAACCTGTTTTAGATTGACCCAAAGCTTATTAAATCTAAGACAAATATCTTGGATCTCCAGACTAAGTTACTCTTGACTAAATCGTAGCAATTAGATGCAATTTAATACTAAGCAAGCCATTAATGCCATCATTAATTAATAGTAATCTAATGAAACTAATTATGTTGTTGAAATATATTTAGTCCTACATACAAATTTATTAACAAAATAAAAATACAATGTAATTTTATATATTGTACTGACTGATTGAGTGTTGTAACTATTTAAGAAAAATATTTTTATAGTAAATAAATTTATTTCATACTAATTTTTGCCTGCGACTTTGTCCGCGTCAATTTAGGATTTATATATGTTTATCTGACCGGGGGAACCCCATTCTGTCCTATAGGCCATAAATAACCAGATATTGGAGTTTATTCAGTTTTCTTTTCAGTTTCGAACGAACAAAATTCATTATCCTATGTCCGTCTCCTGGTTCTAAGCTACTTCCCCACAAATTTCCAGCAAAATTCGTACGGTCGTTCTCGAGTTATAAATAATGTAACGACTACGTCTTTCTTTTATATAGAAAATATAAATTGTTCATATATTATAAGAGTAATGATAAGTTTATTGACAATATTTAGCCATATTTCTGTATATTTGCATCACGATTTCATAATTTATCGTATTAACCAATGATAGCTACTGCATGTTAAAGAGAAATTAGACGGCTATTAATTGCAAGGAGACAATAAAATTACACCCCGAGGAGATAGATTCATTTGTGTAATAATAATAGACTATGAAAGGAAAATCATTGGCTGACGTCGATTTTACATATAAAGAAAATGTAACAAGAACATATAACTTTTTCCACTTATGTATACATAAATGCCTACTAGAAGTGTGATTTGTAGCAGCCTGTTTCAAATATCAAATGTTTTTTGGACACTTGATATTTACAGATACATTTTTCACTGTCAATATCAACACGCTAAAATTTTTATGAAAGTGCCTTTTGTTCTATAATAAAAATCGTGTAATAACTCTTGCACTATTTGAAATATATTTTGTGTACACGTTCTAAATTTAATTAGATAAATAAGACCACTTAATTTTATCAAGATAAAGTGTATTGGTGCAAGACACAGACCAAAGCTGGCCAACTCTCGTCTTTTTTCTTATATTTGGGCAACACTATTGATAACATATTAATATAAAAGATATTTGTATAGTATTCATAACGTTTTAGTGGCAATAATTAATTGTAAATTAAAGTTCTTTAAGATACGAAGAGCGCAGCTTTTATATCATACAATTTCATAAATGTCTGTTAAGATTTGTATGGGTGGCACATTTCTAGGATGGATCCGCTCGGATAAACATATATATATACATATACAGTATTTACTTACTGTATATGTTTAATAATCTAGATTATAGAAAATAATATGATTGTTGATCAAAAGATGTATATTTTTTCTTTCTATAAGCATATATTTTTTTGTTATAACTTACATATATGGCTAGTAAAAAGATATATATAAATTTTAGTGATATTTTTGTAACTACATATACATATATAAGATCATTGCACACCCCGGTTTGGTGTGTAATTAAAAATTATATATTTGAGTTAATTATCAAAAATAACTAAGTGTTAATATTTATGACTCATGAATTTATGAGACGATTCTGAAATGAAAACCTTTGAAATATCATATATATACGCCTATGATATTTTTCTCCTTAATCAAAATAGGTACAACAAAAATTTACACACGCCAAAATTATTACACCTTCAAAACATCTGTTCATTTGATTAAAATAGAAAAGCAAATTCTTGACCAATTTCATTTAAATAAATAATAAATATTGATAATATATATTAAATAATTTGTAATATGTGTATATTATGGCTTCATTTAACCAACATTTTTTCTTAACTTTATCACGCATAGATGTTGCATCCACAAAGGTCAGCCAGTAAATATATTTTTTATCCAGAGTTTCTATATTCTTAGTAAATTCTCGTACAAGTTTTTCTCGTTCGTGTTAAAGAAATTTATATGAGAATCGTGTTATATTTTTGTACCTACATATATTAAAGATTCATAACCGGAACTGGATTCAAATATTGTATTGTGTAATGCTGAGTAGACGCTGCGAGGGTTAGACCCTGTTTGTTTTTAGATATAAGCAAGTTGGACGATCAGTTGGACGATCAGTTGGACGATCAGTTGGACGATCAGTTGGACGATCAGTTGGACGATCAGTTGGTCGATCAGTTGGACGATCAGTTGGACGATCAGTTGGTCGACCAGTTGGACGATCAGTTGGTCGATCAGTTGGTCGATCAGTTGGACGATCAGTTGGACGATCAGTTGGTCGATCAGTTGGTCGATCAGTTGGTCGATCAGTTGGACGATCAGTTGGACGATCAGTTGGTCGACCAGTTGGACGATCAGTTGGTCGATCAGTTGGACGATCAGTTGGACGACCAGTTGGACGATCAGTTGGTCGATCAGTTGGTCGATCAGTTGGTCGATCAGTTGGTCGATCAGTTGGTCGATCAGTTGGACGATCAGTTGGTCGATCATTTGGACGATCAGTTGGTCGATCAGTTGGTCGATCAGTTGGTCGACCAGTTGGACGATCAGTTGGTCGATGAGTTGGACGATCAGTTGGTCGACCAGTTGGACGATCAGTTGGTCGACCAGTTGGTCGATCAGTTGGTCGACCAGTTGGTCGATCAGTTGGTCGACCAGTTGGACGATCAGTTGGTCGATCAGTTGGACGATCAGTTGGACGATCAGTTGGTCGACCAGTTGGACGATCAGTTGGACGATCAGTTGGTCGATCAGTTGGACGATCAGTTGGACGATCAGTTGGACGATCAGTTGGTCGATCAGTTGATTCATTTAATGAAAATCTCATAATACTGCGATTTCTTTGAAAATCAATGAATTAATTTGCCGACTAGTAACCGAAACGTCGGGATCATCCCTACTAATTTTATAAAAGCAAAAGTAACTCTGTCTATCTGTTACACTTTCACGCCTAAACCACTGAACTGATTTTAATGAAATTTGGTACAGAGATAGAGTTGACTTTGAGAAAGAACACAGGATAGTTTTTATCCTAGACTTTTGAAAGGTTCTCTTGGAAACACGATGTAACCGAACCTCACGCGGGCCAAGCTGCGGGCGGAAACCTAGTGTATATATAAAATAATAAAAAACGAATATTATCCAAAACTTAGTTTAATTTAAATACACGCAAAAATCTTAGATATCATTACTTATTTCATCTTTAACGAGAGTAGATCAGCATTATGCTTACCACAAGTTACACGTTACTGCATACGTATAGTTTCACGTTTCTCATTCAATACTACGTTAATACTATTTAACGCGCGTTATATAGGGACCCCTTAAACCTACACCTGGGTCACAAGTCCCAGTCACTGTTGAAGCTCCTCTCACTACAACGATGGACCCGACACACGCACCGTGAATGCATTGAATGATGAAGATTCGTCTTTCTTATGCTAAAGGGAGCAACCGAACAGACGGCCTACTTGATGGAAGATAGTACCTTCGCCCATGGACATCCGCAACATAGTTTTGTGAATCAAAAACCAAAATTTATCAGTCAAATATATTGATATTACTTAAAATATTATATAAGAACAGAAAATACCCAAATTTTATTAATCTCTGATCAAGTTATAAAAATAATAAATTATTAACCGACTTCAAGATAACATGTATATATAAATGAATACTCGCGAAAGTTTTAAATCTCATTAGGATGTACATAGATTATTGATTAAATTGTCTCTTACTATAAATGTGTGGTGACCTTATGTACCAAAGTCACTGAATTCATTTTAATGAAATTTTAACGTAATATAGTTCATAAATTAGAAAAACATTTGGTATATATTATATGGGAAAGCCGCGAGCACAAGCTAGTTAAGCAAGATAAAGTATATACATATGTATGTTATATTATAATTACAACGAATTATGAATAAAAAACATTAATTTTTTAATTTTTTTACTACTATATACACTTGAAAGTTTTAAGTGTAATGTATTAAGAAAATAAATAAAAGAAAATAACGTTATAAAAATAAGTCCGATACAAGATAAATATCTTAATAATTTAATACCAATAAATTATTAATCGAGAAAACCTAATCTATTTTTAAGGTTTAATTTTACTTCCATATTTCTTAAAAAAAAACAAAAGTTATCGGACTTATATTAAATACAGGAGCTCAGTTATTAAAAGTCGTCCATTACAAGCCAACCGCTTGTAACCGTCACTTGTCAGTAATGGCGCCTTTTTTGTTGTTTTTTGGCGGTTTTTCCGCACTTGGGACAGTTATATTTTTTAAACCGGTCTAGAAATAAGTTTCCTCAGAGATATTTCGTGGCGGAGAAATCTCATTTCGCTTTATGAAAAATTTTTCTTTAACGTCCCACAGCGGTGATATTTTGTTGGAATAATATAAGTTGGAAAATATTTTAAATTTTACGTTGCATCAGATGAGTTTAGTTTTCAAGAATAAGAATATATTAGAAGAGACGAATCCTCTCATCATTCAATGTATTCACGGTGCGTGTGTCTGGTCCATCGTTGTAGTGAGATGAGCTTCAACAGTGACTGGGACTTGTGACCCAGGTGTAGGTTTAAGGGGACCATATCTAACGCGCGTTAAACGCTCACCTCCACCGTACAAGCTATTTTAATTTTCTGTTCAATACGAAAAGATTCTTCGAAATCTCTCATATGTACATATACAGGGTGACTGGTGAATTACTATCGATATTTGAGGACGTGATATTTGACGATCATATATGACAAAATAAAAATTAATATATGTAACATAAATATTAATAAACTTCTAAGTAAAGTTAACCAAAAGTTATGTAATTAATTACGCATTGTATGAACACCCTACAGATTAGGTATACACACACACACACACACACTCGCGCGCGGCGGCGTGTTGTTGTATCGGCACGCCCGCGCCGCCGCACGCGTCCACACTTGGAACACTTGGAACGTGTACACACTTTATTTATTTATACGGAAATTTGGTCAAAAATTAAGTACCTATTTTTTTTACATAATTCGAATGAGAATCATGTACCGAGTATGCTCCTTAAATATTGATAGTAATTCACCAGTCACCCTGTATATTAGACTTAGTAATTTATTTTGTATGACAAATGTATATGATTCTTATAGAAGTAATTTCGGAACCAAATTTTATCCTGATTGGTCCAATTTGGTCCCACATTTTGTGGCTTTAAGTACACCGACTATAACTGTTGCGACTATAGTGGATTTAAGACACAATGAACCCAATCGATATATTTGAATATCAAGTTACTTTTATAATTCAGGCATTCAAGATTTAAGGTATTTTATTTAGATATAAGGCACGTTAGGACCTTAATCGAGTAATCATAGGTAATGGACCAATATTAACCAAATGTCGACGAAATTGGCTTTCAATTGAAAGAAACCGCATCGAAATTGGTTGATTCGTTTGAGAGCCATGATGCCACAGACGGGTACATACACTTATACACGTAAGTACACAACCAAACTAATACATACACCCACACACACACCCACGAATTGGTGCTAACTTTATATATTTCCTCTTCTTGCGTGGGTTATTAACGTAATTTTTTCAACAACAGACAGTTTCCTCGAGAAATCTTTTTGCCTCTTCCTACAACTGAAAATCTATTTCAGATACCAATACCAATGTAAATAATATGATCTATATACAAATCGTCACTTTTCATAGCATTAGCTCTGATAAGATAAAGATTAAACATGAAACAGTTTGTAAGAGGGCATAATAAAGAAGTAATTTTTCTTTTAAATAATGAAATAAGGAAAAAAGTACATCAAAACTAGCACTTTTATTCTTTAAAGTATCAGTAAGAATTGGATCACAGTTGATCCAAAGCCAATCCTATTGAAATGACCTGAATAAAATGTCATAGCAATAGATTTATCCTTTAAGGCTTCTACAAATAACAGAAGACTTTTTATTTAATGTATTGCAATAAGTTTATAATATTATTAAATATTTTAAAAGATCCATTTTCGGTTCGGATATAATTTTAAATTTCCCTTGAATTAAACAAGTTATGATAGTTTCATTATACGAATTGAAAAAAAAAATGCTAAGAATAAATTTGATTTTTGAAAGATATTCGAAGAACTACAAAAAATATACCTTTATTCAGTTTCAGAATAATCTTTGGAAGTTTCATTTAATATAGAAATCATATTACAAGAAGAACTTCCTTCATACATATTTATGGAATCGCCGAAGGCAGTTATTAAATCCACACTCGATGTTTATACTTACGAATATATAGGAGTGTCGCGTCCTTGTTTGTACCAGATGACGAGTCCCATTCTATCATCGGGAAGGGCAGGTGTTACGTCACATGGCAATTCCACTGTACCGCCCGTAGGAGCATGCAGAGACTCGATGTTAGCTGAAAACAAAATACATCATAATCATCATCAGCCTATCAGACGCCCACTGCTGAGCAAAGGCCTCTTTCTCACATGGAGTAGGTTTAAGCATTAATCACCACGCTTGCTCAAGACGGGTTGGTGATTTCAAACTTATAATTGTGAAACTATAAGTCCAGGTTTTCTCACGATGTTTTCCTTCACCGTATGTCAGTGATGTCTAAATACTCTCAGTAAGTGCATATGACTCCGAAAAATCACATTGGTACTTGCCAGGTTTGAACCCGCTTCTCGGCAACGAGAGGCGAGTCCCTTAACCACTAGGCCACCACTAACTAACTAAACATAATACACATTGTTATATATAAATTCATAAAAAATAACTAAAATAAATACGTCATACACTTTAAACGAATAGATTCATATAAAAGGTGTAAGAAATCATTCATTTAACAGCAATTTACCGATCAAAGGCTTAAAGTCGTTACCATCAATTTGTGGCCATCAATAAGACTTTAAACCGCTGCTAAAGATGCGTCTCACTGTTAAAAATACAGGAGTCCATAATTTAGTTCAATATATCTTATGATGTGGTTGACTGGGAATCGCTGGAGGTGAATAAAGATCAAATTTTACTGAGGGATTTGTAATAAGCCTATATGATCTTCCATATTGGAAATTCCGAACAGATTGTGTTCGATCTGGATTCACACTTGTACATCGAATTACAAATGATATTTCAAATTATTTGAAAGCGTTTTGCATAAAATTGGGTATTAGGTACCGGATTGTCATTTTAATAGATTTTGTATTATTGGATGAAATGTAAGGATGTCCGAATCCAATGTGCAATCCGCTTTAGAGACGAAATTCGAAAATCATGCTCGTGGAAGAAGTGCATGAAATGGAAAATTGCATCATGAACATATTATGTACTTTCGCACCTGATATATTAAAAACAATGCATTAAATTTAAGATTACAATACCTAGTTTAATAGAAGTGTATGTGAATATTAAAGAGATGATTTTACTATAAATCTCCAAACGTTAAAAGGGAAGTATTTCGACCATAACTCCGTTCGGATTAGTTTTTAAAATATGATAGGTATCTGACATGCAAACAAGCCATTCAACAACCCCGCTTGTGTCTTACTGATAGTAAATTGCAATATTATTCACAGATACCTACGGATAAATGTTATTTTAAATATCTTGTAGAAGAAACTATTAAAAGAAAGATAAACAATCAAACATTCTTGTTGACACGATTAATGTTTTTCACTATAAAAATCCAAGTAAAATAATTCCCTTTAATTAAGTGCTTCATTTCTATAATATTTAAAAAAAATCACATAAGTGATGTGTTTTCCAAATAAGACTATTGTTTTTGAACGTGTATTTTTGTATATTTTTTTACAT